ACCAGACTTGAGAAAATGAAATAAACCAAAAAAGTTGCACTTGTTTTGTATGCTGCAAAATGGCACTTGTCAACAAAATTCTGCCTGTGTGCTGTTACCTGTCAGCTGATTGCTCATATCATAGCATGCTATGACTCCAGACTCCTGAACTGTTTGCTGTGGTAGTATAGCTCGTTTCATTTTTAAGACATATAAAATTAGGAACACTTTTTAGCATTGTTCGATGTTGGTTGCAAATGTTTTGTCCAATACTGTATATACACCTATATATATAAATATATATATATATATATATATATATATATATATATATATGTATATATATATATATATATATATATATATATATATATATATATATATATATATATATATATATATATATATATATATATATATATATATATATATATATATATAAATATATATATATATATATATATATATATATATATTTTAATTCCATTATCTTTTATTCTAGAAATAAATTATCAACTTGGATTCCAAGTTGCAGAAATATTACAAAATTAATATTTCCAAGTTGGAAATATTAATTTTGTAATATTTCTGCAAAATAAATTTCAAATCACAAGGATTTTAGCAAACATGCTAAGCATCAAATCATCGAAATATTTTGTGAACTATAATAGCATGTTATTTTATTATTAAAAATTTATCATAAAGAAATAATCATTGATGTCTTCCATAGGTTAAAATCTACATGCTTTTTTCGAAATAAGTTTCCGCAGGGTTTTTAAAGGGCGGTCATTTATAATTATCGCTCCGTAAAATTAATTAAAATTTTTTTCTTGTTTTTATAACAAATCTATAAAAGACATCTTATAGACATCTAAGTTTAGATGAAAAAAAAATTATCTATACACGATCTATTTTATGCATCTAATATGCATCTAAAACAGAGCAAAAATAGTACCTCTAGAATCAGACGTCTTTTTGATCTCTAATATACGTCTAAAATATACGTATCGGCAATAGATACAATTAGACTAATTTTAGACGGTCTAAAAAACGTCTATTGTTTGCTGGGAAGATGGATGATATTCACACTGTTCCTAAGTACGAAATTTATATTGATGATAGCCTCTCGTTTACTATTCGTATATTTTTATGGGCTCCGCCAGATAATCGTAAAATATACTTGCATTTAAAAAGATCAATGTTCAATACAACTGTTTGTAACCTTATTTCAGTTTTGCTGTCATGTATAGTATGTCCAGGTATCTCAGATAAATTAATTAGCTCTCATGGCTATCTTCTTCATGTTATACCTAAAAATTTTGATTTATTTAATAGTTATTCTTTACCTTTAAACCAAACAGAACATACCCGAGCTCTTTCATGTGATGTTGTTATTTAAAAAAAAGATATTTGTAAAGGATGCTAATGCCTTCAGCCTCAAAACCGAATATATGTTAAAAAAAATAGTGATAAATTACTTATTCCATCTAAACTTAGAGCTCCAATTTCTAAAACTGCACCAGAACGTGTAAAACTAACCTTACAAAGTTACCGTTAAGAAAATAAATTGCTTAAAGATAACATCAAAGAAATGCAACAGGAATTAAATAAATCATCCCATCTTGTCAGTGATACCTACACAAAGACTTGGTTTCAATCATATCAAAAAATGATGGTACAGTCACTCCATTTATGAAGTTATTTTGGGATGAACAACAAAAATACTTAAACACAAAACAGGGAATTCGTTATCATCCAATGATTATTTGCTATTGTTTAGATCTTGTTTTAAAGTTGCCTGCTGCTTATGAGGAAATTCGTTTCAATGAAAAACTAATTCTGGTTTTGTCGTTTTACCAAGTCAAAGGCGTTTAAGAAACTACAAAAACTATATCCGACCACAAAGAGGTTTTAACTATGAAATTGTGAATGAACTAAGTTTAAAGGTGAAGGATTTTTCTGATCAAGAACGGTTTGTTCTACTTTTATTAGATGAAATGAAAATTCAAGAAAATTTGGTATGGGATAAATATTTTGGTGATCTTATAGGATTTGTGATGGGGCCTCATGTAATCGTAAATTTTTTTCTTTGCATTTTCATGACAGAAATACAAGATAATAATAAAAATATTAAATTTACTTATTGCATCAAAAATAAATTTGCTGACGATGACCGATATATATATTTCATAGCTGATCCTCCACATTTGATAAAAACTGCTCGAAATTGCCTTTTTCATTCTGCTTCAGGTAAAGAGAGGTATACTGATAATCACATTTTGTGGAATCACGTATCAGATTTGTTTTATGAAGATCTAATCTGTGGCCCTCACACTTGCCCGAATCTTTCCTTAGAACATATAAGGTTAAGCCCATTTTCCAAAATGAATGTAAGATTAGCAGCTCAAGTACTCAGTTCATCAGTTAGCATTGCTTTGAAGATATTTGGTCCGACTGAAGCCTTTAGAACTTCTGAGTATTGTCAAATGTTCAATAATTTTTTTGATTGTGTCAATGTGAAAAATATTGTAGATTGCACTAGAAAGCAAAATCCATTTTCTGAGCCATTTTGTTTGATAAGTGATGAAAGACTGACATGGTTGACTGAAGTTTTTTTAAAATATTTTGAAGATTGGAAATTGTCTATAGATCAAAGACCTGGAAATTTCACTAAGACTGATAGAGGAAATATGTTTTTATCTTGGCAAACATATGAAGGTATCAATATCACTCTCCATTCAGTTGTTGATTTAGTTAAATATCTTTTAAATATTGGTGTCCAATATGTTTTGACTGAACAGCTTTGTTAGAAAACTATTTTGGCCAACAGCGAGCTATTGGAAGAAGAAAAGATAACCCATCTTTACATGATATTGGCTATAATGACAATACAATAAGAAACCAAGTAGTCTTAATAATGATCCTGAACCAAAGACTTTTATCAAAGAAAAATTATCACGACGAAATTAAATTAAAATAGCCAAAAATAAGGTCGTCAAAAAAAGGAAATTAAAAACGGCTATTTTCATAGCTACAAACATTATAAAGGCTTTATTTGGTTTAAAATATTTTATTTTAATTGTTGTTGTTTTTAACAGGGTGTGAATAGGGAGGGATCTCTCATAAATATATATATATATATATATATATATATATATATATATATATATAATATATATATATATATATATATATATATATATATATATATACTTATTCTAAATTATTTAAATAAAACATGTAGTAATGATTACATTATTTGATATTATTACTTAAAAAAAAAAACTTACATAACTTCGTTTGGTTTTCACTTAATTACTTATTGCATCTCTTCATCGTGCTGCAATATAGTTCGTATACTAGATATGTTTTTAACAAAATTTGTGGCTATGAAAATAACCTTATTTAAATGTCTAATCTTTATTCAGTAGAGGTTAAAGATTCTTTTTTGATTTCTTTTCTTAACGAATTTATTCTTTACTTCTTAGTCTTGATTTTATGCAAGTTTACAAGCTCTTCGGAATAGGAAAACGACCGAACACGAAAATAAAGTGTTGAAAGGTGGTCTAAAAGATTGAGAGACATCTCTGTAGATACCTTAGTAGAACTAGCATAACAAATTTTTGAAAAGTAAGATAAAACCTCAACATCTTGAAGCAATTCTATTTAAATAAATCTTGCAGCAGTCAATTTTTTTACTCAAAATTTTTGTAGAATTTCTGAATGCTACTTCTGCTATTTTAAATAGTGAAAAAGCATCAGATGGTATAGACCAAAGACCACCTCTATTTTTAAAACTAATAAATTTTCTATTAGTTTCATGATACTCTTCAAATTCATTTTCTACAATTTTTGCAGCCAACAAAACTAAAAGTGTTTCTTGACCAAATCTACTTTGCCAAACTTTTGAATAACGTATTCTTCGATAAAAGGTACTAAATACATATCCTCCCAAATATTCAATTAATGTTTTTTTTTTCTGTAAACTGAATTGCATTGTCAAAAACTAAAATTGAGGCTGCGTTTTTAGACTTCGTTAAGTGAGCCAAAATATGATTAGCAAGATCATATCCTACAAGAGGTTTTGATCTTGCTAATCATATTTTGGCTCACTTAACGAAGTCTAAAAACGCAGCCTCAATTTTAGTTTTTGACAATGCAAGATCATATCCTACAAGAGGTTTTGTCTGTAAGATTTTTTAAAAATGATTTTTGACCAGCAACTTTGTAAAACTTTAGATAAAAAACTTCCGCGTCACTATTAAAATTTTCAATTACATCTTTTATCAAGTCGAATGAATGTTTTGCATCATCTTCTGAAAATATGTATTTTGAAAGTTCATCTCTAATAATATTAGAGATGAACTTTCAATATTAGCAATATGTGGATGGTTTTTGTTAGATATGTTTTTCAAAAATCGTTTTTAAGGTGGTATCCAGCCATTATTTTGGTGAAAAATAAAAAAAAAATGAAAATTTTGAAAAAATGTTATTCATACAATTGAACATTGTAGAATTCAATAGAAAAAATATTTTTTCAAAAATAATGTTAGAATATTAAGAATATTCTTCTCAAACACATCAAGGTATTTTTATATCACATAGCAACGACCATAGCAACCGTTTTAGCCTATAAGTTAGTCTCTGAAAATTAGACATAGCAAGCCTGTAACTACTCTTTTTTTAATGTTTTAAGTTTATATTGGTCTAAATGTCATAAATCTAAGTTACATTGCTATTTTTAACGGTTTAACATCGTGTTGTTGCCTTTTTGAATTCAGATGAAATAGTGCTTTACACTTTAAATTTTTATATCTAACCTATTACAGTTAAAAAGTTGTTGAAAAGTATATTATGGCCAACAAAAAAAGAATAATAAGACCAAGGAAAAGAAAGTTTAACGGCAATCAGCATAATAATTCCAATAATACCAATAAGCAATTTGATACAAACACAGGAAGTTCTACAAGTAGTAAAAAGCTAAAAAATAATCTTGAAAAAACATTATTTGATGACTTTCCATGTTGCATGATCATTCAAGACACTTGGGTTTTTCTTTGTTTTTTCAAATTTATTGCAGTGGTTGTGCTTTTAAAGATACATTTTTTTCTTCTCCTGTTGTCAAAAACAATAAACCTGGTATAAATACTAGTGAAACTAATGTTCGCAGTGTTATGGCATTCAGGGAGATTGGCAGAGGCAGAGATGCAATGTTAACTTTTACCTCCATAATGAACATGCCACCACCTTTATCAAAACCTAGTTTTGACTGTATTAATAGCAAACTTTACGATGCTTATAAATCAGTCGCTGAGCAAAGTATGAAAAATGCTGCTATGGAAGTTAGGAGAATACTGAAACCTGGCTCTAATATGAATGATGTTATTGATTGTGGTATTTCTATTGATGGTACCTGGCAGCGAAGAGGATATTCTTCTTTAAACGGTGTTGTGGTAGCAACGTCTCACGACAACAACAAAGTATTGGATACTGTTACATTATCTAAGTTTTGTAAAGGATGTCAAATTTGGGAAGCAAAAAAAGGGACACTCAAATATGAGCAGTGAAAAGTTAATCATTCCTGCCAAGTAAACCACACTAAATCAGCTGGTGCGATGGAGTCAGCTGGTGCAACAGAAATATTTTGCTCTTCAGTAAATAAATATAACATTCGCTATTCTAAATATCTCGGAGATGGAGACACTACCTCGTTTAGCACAGTTATTGCACAAAAACCTTATGGTGATGACCTTGTTCCAATAAAACTAGAATGTATTGGGCATTACCAGAAGCGTACAGGGAATCGACTGCGTCTTAAAAGAAAAGAATTACGACGGGTAAAACTATCTGACGGAAAAAGTATATCTGGTAAAGGTCGTCTCACGGATAAAGTAATTAACATCTTGCAAAGTTATGTTGGAATGGCTATTAGACAAAATTCAAATAGTCTTTTGGAAATGAAGAACTCTGTAATAGCTTCATTTCATCATTGCACTAATTTTACCTCTGGAGAATATCGTCATATGTTTTGCACTAAGGGTGAAAAAAGCTGGAGTAAATGGCAGTCTGATAGAGCAACTGGTCATGTTACATACAAGAAAAAGGTGAATTTACCCGTTGCCATTATGGAAAAGATCAAGCCAGTATTTCAAGATCTAGCAAATACTGATATGCTTGCAAAATGTTTGCATGGTATGACTCAAAATGGAAATGAAGCGTTTAATCAACTAATTTGGAACCGATCCCCTAAAACTATGTTCACCTCTAAAGTTGTTGTTGAAATGGCTGTTTACTCTGCAACCATTACTTATAATGATGGTTTTGCTAAGTTATTTTCTGTATTTGATGCTCTTAATATTAAATCTGGTAGTTACTTTGAAATTGGTGCAAGTAAAAAAAACTCTATACGGCTAAAAAATATGAACAAAAAAATGTCAGATGAAACAAAAAAAAAGAGAAAAAAATTAAGATCTGTTAGAAGAAACTATTTTGGACAAAATTTAGATAAAGAAACTGCAAAAGATTATTGTGCTGGTGGTTTTTAATGATTTATCTGAGTAGTATACATGATTTATAATTTTAAAATTGATTTTTCTCAATTTTTGTTTTTTGTACGGGTAGCTGTAGCAAAACAATGATATCTCAATAAAAAAACATAATTTTAGCTTCAAATTTTCAGGATATGTTCATTATTGATGTTTTTAGTGCCTGAACCTAAAAAAACATTTAAAAAAATTAAGCTTAACCTACAATTACCATATCTAATTAGTGTTTTATCGCTAAAAATAGTTTTTTATATCATTAAGTCTGCCATTTTTGATTGTTTAAATTTTTTTCAAAAATTTTTGGTTCAGGCACTAGCTACACTAGTGTACTAGCTTTATGCAAAATTTAAACCTTTAGTATTGATTTATTCTTAAGATATTTATGTTCTTGTGACTTTTTTTGCTGAGTCAGCATTTATTTTTTATTAATTTAAAAAAATAGTTGCATTACGTTTTAGATCTTTATCTATTATGCTAGTAATTCATCATAGGTATTTATTATGTGTAAAATATAAAAAAATAGAACTAATGGCTGGATACCACCTTAAGAATGTTAATGCTTTTTATAACAACATTTTTGAACTCATCTAGAGAACAAGTTTGTTTAACATTAGTTGTTGGATTTATTGGTTGTGTTACAATTTGTAATAGTCACTATTTGAGTGTTTAGTCACTATTTGAGTCACAATTTGAGTCACAATTTGAGACACTATTTGAGTCACAATTTGTAATAGTCACTATTTGAGTGAATAGTCACTATTTGAGTGTTGAGTTGTTATGTGACGCTTGAGTCCTTTCTCTGACTTACATTTTTTAACACACTGCTGGCAATTAAAACTGATTAAAGAACTTCCATTTTCAGTTTCACTAAGAAGAGCACCAACATCACTAAAGAACTTATCGTTTTCAAAAAGATTCTGACTCTAACTCTAATATGAGATGATCAATGGATTGTTCGTCTGCTGATTTTTCCATTTTTTTTAGATTTTTGTGCACTTTATTAGTAGCCTGGGCACGATAAATAAACATAAATTCAAAATTTTAACTTGATTGTTTGAAAACAATAAAATCTTGCGAAAACGGCCCAACTGGCCGGACTATCTGTTATTATGACTATGATAAAATAGATATTATTCCGAATAAAGACTAATTTTATTCAGAATAATATCTACTTTATTTTTAATATTTTTTATAGTTAATTATAGTGATTTGAAATTTTGTTATTCCGGAATTAGTCTTATCCTTGTCTGAATGTTAATTTACTTAGTAGGAATAAGTTTTGGTATAAAAAAACTACTATACTGCAAAAGCCGTAAAGTAACGCTGCCCCCCACACTCATCTCGATCCCTGCTCGCGCCGGCTGTAGTCGCTAACTGAGGTAAAGAAAAGGATAATGTATACCAGAAACTAAATGCTTCAAATTATGCAAATAAAAGTTTAAATGGTACAACTACGATACAAAAACAAAAAAAAAGAGGTCAATTAAAAAAGAAATTATTTATATTACTATAAAAAAAAAAATTCTTAAACGTGGCACAAATTAAAAAAAAAAAAAACTTGAAATATTTTATTTCTTCATAATTCAAAACAATTGCAACATATTGGTAATATATAGAAGAGTTTATCATCAATGTGTGCAATATTTACAAAACAGAAAATCATATCGGTAATATTACAATTATTTACGGCTTAGCAAGTGTTGAATGCTAAAAATATAAAACAAGTTCAACTACTTTTTTAAAAACTAAAATAAAACATTGAATCATTTTCTCACTTAAGCTAAAACAGCAAAAAACTTACATTATATATTTAGTAATAATTAATCAAATAATATACTTTTTCAAAAGACTTTTTATATATAAAGATAAAAAAAAATTATGTTAGTATAACTTATTGTTAACTGTTTTAATTTACTTTATTATTACAACTCCCTTTATAAAAAACAAACAACCGTTAATATGAAAAAACAAAACAAAGAAAAGGTCACAACAAAGAAATAACTTAACTCTATATTGCAAAATGTATCTTTAAATTAACATACCGTATATGGAGTCATATACAGAGTCCAACTAAAAGGTAATAAACCATAACATCATTTTAGTAGTTTTGTAAATTACCTTAGTTTTGGTTGAGACTACTTTACAATAAAAATAAAAAAATCCTTATGAGAAACCGTAGTTACCAATTTAGTGGTAACGGTCACACCATTTTGAGTTTGCTTTGAAATTTGTTCACAACAAAAATAGGTTTCAAAAAGATTTAGATTTCATTTATAAATAATAAGAAGGTATAAATCTAAAAAAAAGTTGTGTTTGTTACTTTCAAGCAACATCATGTATCAAAGCAAAATAACATGTTTCTGATTTGCGTTTTTTAAAATGTATAGTAAAGTTTTTTGAAAAGTTATATTTGTGACTGATGACAAATGTGCTTTTATAGAGACTTATCCTTGTCAAAACCTTCATCACGCTTTTATAAAATTTAGAGCCTAGAATCCAGAAATTTCATATGGTAGTGATTAGAGTATAGACATAACGAAAAGTTAAAATCAGAAACATCAGATTGTACTGATTTATATACTGAAAATGATAAAAAGCTTCAACTGATGCAGAGGATAAAAATCTTCAACTGATACAGAGGATAAAAATCTTCAACTGATACTGAGGTTAAAAATCTTCAACTGATACAGAGGATAAAAAGCTTTAAATGATACAGAGGATAAAAAGCTTTAAATGATACAGAGGATAAAAAGCTTTAAGTGATACAGAGGATAAAAAGCTTTAAATGATACAGAGGATAAAAAGCTTTAAATGATACAGAGGATAAAAAGCTTTAAATGATACAGAGGATAAAAAGCTTTAAATGATACAGAGGATAAAAAGCTTTAAATGATACAGAGGATAAAAAGCTTTAAATGATACAGAGGATAAAAAGCTTTAAATGATACAGAGGATAAAAAGCTTTAAATGATACAGAGGATAAAAAGCTTTAAATGATACAGAGGATAAATCTGATAATAATTAAACACTTAAAAATCTTTAAAGTTTGATTATCAGCTAAGTCTAGATAAAAAAACAGTAGTCATACCTGGTATAAAATCCAGACAAAGATGAGAAAAATTATCCTCACTATCAGGTTGAAAATTAAACAGACGGTGATGCACATATTTTTGAATATATTTAGTATGTAAAATGTTCCTTAAGTGACCAAATGTCGCGATAAATTGTCAAAAAATCTAACAAATATGCTGATCAATAGAATTCTAGCAAATCACTTTAATTTGATAAATATGAAATCGAACAGTTGATTGAAAACATATATGGTATGAGCATTGTTCAAATGCCATCGACCAAAATGAATTGAAACAATGACTTATACTTTAAAAAACTGAGGAATTTACGACTGTCAACCAACTTGAACAAAACAAGTTATTTAATTGTAATGATAACAATATAGTAAACAAAAAATATAATTGATAATAATAAAAGATAATTGATGGGAAATGCGACCTATTATTAATGTTCAAGCACTTCTGTTTAAAACTGAAACACAAAGAAACGTTTGTTTTATGTATTGATAAACAGATTGTTTCACAAAAAATTAATTCATCAATGAAACAGTACAACCCATCAAAAATCCCAAAAACAGGAATTCAAATTTCATGTTTTTTCAAGAACTGACGGTCATGGACACAATTTAAATCATACAGCTTTATTGATAGCATAAACTATATTTTAATAACTGGTATGGAAGATATAATTATTCAAAACACTGTTTTTATATTAAATTACATGCGTTGGAATGTTCCTGTACATGTTGGTAGGCTGATTATAAATTATAAAACTACCAACAGATATGCAAAAACAAGATATAGAATCAAGTTCTTTATTGAGCACCAATTTTAACAATAATGAAGTTCAGGCCGTCATATGGTTTGACAATAAACGGGTAACACTACTTTCATGATATAAGATAGTAAACCCAGTATCTGCTGTTGAGCAATGAGGTCACAAGACTAAATCAAAAATAAAAAAACATACTTTTCAAAAAAAAGAAGGTTTGTTGCATTTGTTCCTGCATTCTAAATAAACCGACAGTATTGAACGTTTACCTGCTTTTAGTGAAATAATGTGAAATAATGGAAAAATGAAGAGCAATGTAAAAACCCTTAACACAATGGCGTCCCTAAAATTTATTTAGAAAATAATGTGAAATAAAGTAAAAATGATGTCCCAAAAGTTTATTGATAAAATGTAAACTACGATTGTGAGAATGCGTAAACTACAATTGTGAAAATACGTAACCTGTTTTACACATCTTCAAATGAAAATAAAAATTATTTAAATTTTTCCTTCTCCTTGCATGTTGCTATAAATTAACAAATCCCATATTCTTTAAATATTAATCAAATAAAAGCATATTAGATTATTATAATTCCAGACAAAAATATTTTAATTCATGCAATATAGGATTAAGCTAATGATCATTTATTTAATGACGCAAATTATTCCAATTATTATCATTATATTTAAGAAGTTCGTCAATGCAAGCTCCAACGTTGTTAGCATGTTTTGTCAGAAAAGTTTGGTTCAATTTGCGGTCAAAAAATCCCATGTTAAGAAGCTGTTGCATTTCATTAGATTCTGTTGGGTATTTAATTTGATTCGGAAGGCCACGCTAAAAAGTAAAATATACTCTAAATAAATAACTCTGAATAACATTGTTAAATATTATTAAAATAACTCTGAATAACATTGTAAATGGAATCAACAATTTTCTAAAACATTTCATAGTTAAAAATTTAACTCTGATTATTCTCATAGTGGATTACACTTTTTTATTTTTATAAATAATTTAAATGGTGCATTTCTTGGCTTTTGAAAAACAACAAACAAAAGATTAGTATGATAAAAAAGAAAAATAAGAAAAATGATAAAAAACTACATTATGTTCAGCTATTTTCAAACTGAAAAAACCGCTATAACAAAACTTACAAAAATTTCATTGCAACGTAACATATTCGGATTTTTTTAGTTTAACAAGCTCCAATAGTAAGTGGACAAAAGTCTCCAATAGTAAGTGAACAATAGTAAGTGACCAATAGTAAGTGACCAATAGTAAGTGACCAATAGTAAGTGATTACTAAATTACAGTTATATAAGACATTCTCATGCTATTTAATCGCCTTTAAAAAATTTTTTTTTTCTTCTTTTTTTTTTAACTTATTAACTTTTTTAACTTATTATTATTATTTTTCTAAAATAACAATTTTTTATAAAATGATTATTTTTTAATAGAATTTTGCTTCTTTTGATATTCAACATGATATACTTTTGAAGAACTTTTTTTGATATTAGGGACCGTCTGACAATTTTTGTCGAACTCATGTAATTATAAATATTTTGCTATTTCAAAAATTTGACATTGCTGTTGCCATTGTGTAAATACTGAAGAGTTGCAGACACATTAGTTTGTCTTTGGTTTATTCGGTCTTCTAATTTTAATTAAACAGTTAGCTTCACTGGGAGAAGTGCAGAGATGTTTTTACTAAACAAAATTCCAGCATCTAGAATAACGATATCAGATGCAATGTCAATCAATGCTTTTTTAACACAGATTTTAGCTTGCTAAACCTTTCAAGCATTTCAAATGAAATTTTTTGATGAGAAAACTAAATTGAAATTCTTCAGTCTCAACAAGCTCAGCTTCATATAAGTATTATAAGTTGTTCAATCAAGCCAACATTTTCATCTGCAATGTATTCCTCATCCGATTCATCAAAGTCACTTAAATAATTAAGTTGTATTTGAATTATTATACAGAACATCAATTACAGCTAAATGTATCGCATGTACAAAGCGCAACTGATGATTACATGGTAAAAGCCTTCAAACTTTTTTCATCACAGCTACCCCATCAGTTGTTATAGACGTAATGTCTTTGTCGATATTTAGATTGTTGTCTTGCAATGTGGTTTTTAGGCCTGTAATGCAAATGCATTACGGGTCTAAAAACTCTGAAGGTAAACGTCCTTTAACAGGTACTAAACCTAAATTTCAAAACTTTTTTATGCCATGGACATTCTCATTTGAATAACATTGGTTTCTTAAAGATGTCCATTCATCTAGAGAAATAAAGCAAATTCTTGTTCCATCTTTTAAATTTATAAAATCCTGTATCATTTTAGCCTGCATTTTTTATGCGTATTCCAAAACTATTTTGAGAATTGAGTTGATTTTGGTAATCTTGAGCGCCTCTAGCCAAAAACAAATTTCTCAAATCGATAGACATACAGAAAACTTTAAATGACATATTATCTAAGGCGCACATTCGTGAAACGATTGCAGAAAGTGATTCATCTTTTTTGTTGAATAAATAGTTTGTAATCATCATTTTTGATGTGCTGCTTTTTGGACCTTTATCTTGCACAACATCCTGTTTTAATACATTAATATTGTGTATTGTTCTTAAATGTGTGTGTGCTGTGGTGTTGTTGTTGAGCCAGTGGTTTTTTTCATAATATGTTTTACATTTTGCTTGTTGTTTTTTTGATCCTCTTAAAAAATGAATCCTAACAGAATTTTGATTTTTACATTGCTTTGTGTATTCCAAAAAACTTTCCTTTGAATACATTTTAGGATGTACTGTTGATAATAATTGAACTTGTTAAACAAAACAAAATTAAAATTAAATAGTCATCAAATAAAATTGTTAAATTAAAACTGCTATTATTCCTGCTATTATTTGCTTACCTATTTAAAAAATATTGATCCAAATAATTCAATAAACACCACATTCTAATAAGCAAATCTTAACACTGTTGAAAATCGTAAAATATTAGACTCAAACACGAGATTATATCAAATATAAAATTACATGTGGATATGAAATGAAGACATGAAACCATTAACTACAATTTAGGAATGTTTTCTCTGTCTACTTTATTATGCAGGATAACTGTAATTTACAATAGTCTTTTTTATTTCTTATTACAGAATTAAAATGTAGAAAAATTTATATGTACAGAAACAAAAACACAATTTAAAAGTTGGAGAGAGCACGACAAAATAAATTTTAATATTTGCTGGAAAATTTTTTTGAGTTCAAAACTATATTATAAAAACGAATTCCGGAATTCTCAAATTTTAAGATGCATTCCCTACTGGCAACACACTAAATAATCATGTGTTGCATGTATGATTGCATAGTTATTAACTAATAGAAAAATATCTTACATGCTTTATAAAAATAATGATGATATTCAATATTACAGACAATGATGGCATTATTATTACTATTATTTTATAAGGTTTACAAATTGGATTAGTATAGGTATAAATGTCTGTTAACCTGTCATTCAAATATATTATGCATGTGGTATATTTTATAATCTGACGCATTTAAAATGTCATTTGGAAAGGAACTTCCAAGTTTTGACAAGAAGCTAAACAAAAATAAGGTTTTTCTAGTTAAAATTAATGTCCTCTTGTATTAGTATTTATATTTGTTTTTGGAAAGATCGCTTGACAATTGTAGCAGTTGTTTAGCCATTTATAGACATTTATAAAATCTCCCTGGATTAGTCTGTATCTTATGGTTGTCATATTAATTTTTAATAGTCTTTGGTGATATGTAATTGTATTTAATATTATAGATAATGATGATATTTAATATTATTGATTATAGATAACTAAAAACATGTATAATTCAATCATTATCATCTTAGAATATGGCTAAAACAGTACTTGGTAATATAAAGTATAACTTTGATTGGAAGACAGCAAGTCTCATTGGACAATTGGTGCAATTTTCATATGCCTAAGACAACTGTTCTTATATTTAGCATATCAAGTAAATAGATGGCATAAATCCAGAAAAATCTTGTGGAAGATTAAAAATTATCAATACAAAAATTGCAACATAATACACTGATATCGCTGGCCATCAAACTGAAGTTGTAATCTCTAAAATATTGCAACTTTTGTTAACCTTTTGTTAAGCAATACTCAGTGATTATGATTTGGGTATGAATGTGGCAGCAATTGGTGCAGTCACTGTCAAAATTTCACTGGGGCAACTTGCCATCAGGCAAAATTGGCTCCATAGAAATGCTATTAATGTTCTTATTCAATTCACCTAACTTAAATCTTTTCAAAAACAGTTGAAAAAAGTTTATAAAATTTGTTATAAATATTAGGTGGACGGATCATTTTTGGCCATAACTGTGTTTATATATTAGATATGTACTAATGTCTACTTTTGGCCAATGCTGATGCAAGCTGGTAGTTAGGTTTCCGAACACTGCAGTAGTTCTTGGTGAAGTTGATTCCATCAACAAATGTAAAACATTAGAGTTTAAAAAGTTTCATTTGTGCATGGATGGTATCCATGTTGATGCTTTGATAAGGCCACATAACAAGTCCTTGTTACAACTTTGTATTGATTACTGGTGCAACTGCATAGCTTATTGCTTAGGTTGTCATGCACTATCTGGATACAATTAACACAGATATCTACGATATCTGTGTTAATTGCAATTATACTTTGATTCACTAAGACTCTAATAGTAATACACATATACTTACATATCAATTCACCTATTTGTTTTGAAATCAGGTTTGAATCCACTGACTGTGCTTTCATTCAGCATCTTTTAACTCAATTACTTTTCATATTTTTCACTAAAACTCTTATTCAGCTTGTGGTCTGAACACCATTTCAGTTATAAACTGCGTAAGTACCGCTATAGTTACAAAAGCGTTCTCTAGAACTTTCATCAATACTTTCGAAATGATTTATTGAGTGCTTGACTCTTGTATTCCAGCTTGCTGGAAAATGACACATGTGGTTCTAATTTTTAAAAACTCTGGAAATTACTCTGACCAGTCTTTTTTTGATTATAGCATAACCTTTGAGCCTTTAATCAATAAATTTCTAACATCTTATCTTGAGTCTAATAACTAAGTGACCTATCAATCAATATCAGATCGCTCAATCTGCTTACTGTTATTAGCAAAGTCTTTGATTATTTAATTTATTCAACCGATTAATCAAATTTATCAATAACTAATAAACTTATAATATCAAATAAATGTTTTAAAAATCATTTCAATTGCTTTCATTACAAAATTTAAATTTTTTTTAAAAAACACTATTTTTAAACGCAAATTTTAATCAAGTGTTAGAGAGACAATTGATGAATCTAATTTTTTTCAGTAGACCTAAAATAAAATAATGATATGCAATTAAACTTTTTATTTGGAATTTTGGGTCACAGTCTTCATTTTAACTCCAAAAATCATGAATTTACAAGTCAATAATTTTGAACAAATTGGATAAACAAGGCATTTCCTGAGAAAATTGAGTCTTGAGGGTGCTCTTTTTGGATTTCACAAGTAAAAATCTATTGGGGTACCAAATTTAAAGAAATTTCCTTAAGCCATTATGAAAATACTTTATGTCAAAGTTGCTATGTAGTCGCTTCAAATATTCACTAAAATGCTGAGTCAACATTATTTTAACTGATGATATCTTTGGAAGCCATGTGTAATTTTCTTGCGTGTTAAAGACTTTAAAATATTGTTTAAAAGAGTCTCTTTTTTAGCTGCTTCTTCCATCTTTAATGCAGCTTGATGTCCCAACTTAATAACTATTTTAACTATTTAACATTGAATTTAAAACATCGTTAACTGGAAATTCATTAATGATATAATAAAAATTACTGATGCAAAGAACATATAGTTTGCGTCCTAAAAATTGACCTTTTTATAACATAAATGATTGTGGGATTAATATTCGAACCAACAAACAATTTGGCATCATAAAAATGAACGCTATTAAGAAAATAAGCTAAAGTAAATTCTTCTCAAGCAAATTTATTTAAGATACAATAGATACTAAAACGCAGCACTACAATGTTTGTCAAATCTGTAAAAAATGTTTTACTCGATTTTTACAACCAACATTTTCATTTTTAACTTAAAATACAACTTTTTTTGAATTAAAAGTGTTTAATATTAAAAACTAAGTTCATTATATAAAAAAACGGGGGAAATTTTTTTTTATATATATGTAAAAAAAGATGCCAGAACGCCATTCCGGTGTATTCTAGGAGAAAAAAAGCACTGTCCTGTATAATAAACTAGAACATTTGCAAAGTGTTCATGCTGACTATGGTTCTACGCTTTTTCAAGCTGAAAAATTTATGAAAGGGGGGGGAGCAGATTAATTGCAACCCAAAAGAATTCTATACACCCCCTATGTATATATAGGCTTAAAATAAAATAATAACTTACTGCAATAACTGCATTTTGAAAACTAGAACTGTATTTTACGGAGTGTTCTGAGTCTGGAAATACAACATTAGTTGCTGAAAATCCAGTTTTAGATATCGGATTGCTTCCATGTGTGAAATTCATCTAGATAAAATAGATATATCATTTTAGCTCAATTTTACTATAAGTTTTTAGTGTCAATAATCTCATTCTTGTGCATTGTTAAATAAACCAACATATATTTATATGATTGGTGCATTTATGATTCAGGGGAATAGTACATTCAGCTATGCATCTTTAGTATTAACCATTCAAAAATCAATAACTTTTAAAATAATGATTACCTCATAAGTACTTTTGTTGTCCTTAGAAACTAAAATAATAATTAAAAAACAATTTAATAATTTATTAACACAGATTAAAAATGTATATAAAAAAAAAAAACCTCACCTGATAGATCTGAATCCAATAACAACTTGTTGCTTTCATTGAATGCACAAGCTTGGTCCAACAATCGAATAGAATCTTTTTCTACAGGTGACTGATTGATTTTTCTTCTACAATCTACAGATGGTTGAGTAACAATTGCAGTTAATGACTGTGAGTTATCAGGTTGTGATGTAACAGCATTATGACATATAGGACTTGTTTCAAAATACTTTTCAGTACTAAGTGATGAACCAGGTATAGTTATGTCAGGAGGTTGACTGCAATAAAAAGTGAAACTACTATGCTATGTTTATATTTTAGCAACATAAATATTTTTTAAAATTTACGGTAATGAGATTAAAAATAAAAAAAAAAAAACAAAAAAAAAAAAAATTGAAACTTTGATGATGAAGTAAATTTTAGTAATAGAAACTTGATGAGAAAATAAAATAAAACTAATTTAATATACCTTGAGATCAAAGGAACATTTGCTACAAGATCAACTGGAGCCTGATCAGTTGGATTAGAGTCCTCCATAGGGTTATCAACTATTTGAGCAGGTAAAGTAACATCAGAAATTGATGGTGGAGCATTGCAAGTATTTAGATTGATATTAGATACAAGATCAACACTTGCATTGATATTGGATACAAGATCAACACTTGGATTAATATTGGATACAAGATCAATATTTAGATTAATATTTGATGCATTATCAGGTTTTTCTGAGGAGGGTGGATTTCTTAAAGTCTGTTGAAAACTTTTGGATTGCCCTAAATCTGGATATTCTAGTCTTTCTTCAGTTTTATCTTCATTTTGAAAAACTAAAAAAAATAGGCAAACAAAAAATCAGATAATTATAACTACAAAAACAAAACAAAAAATTAATTAAACTACATTACAGTTATTTGTGGAACTAGCAAGCAAGTTGCAGTTAAGTTTTTTATGCAGCAAGTTTTTTGTTAACTCAAATAGTTTTTTTTTTTTAATTTTTTTTTTAATCTAATCAGTGTAGTTAAGGCAATTTTAAAATATTATAGTGTCTGTATAATATATTGTTGACTAAGACATATTTCCATTTAATGATCAGGTCTGTGAATTATGAAAAGACAAAAAATTAAAACAATAAATTTTGCAGTCTCATAAAATATAAATGTTTGTAGCAAAAAAACCCAGACTAAAAATTCTTTTTTTTAAAAAAAAAAAATATTCTTATATTCACAATCACTTGACCAAATCAAAATAAGATTTTAAATTAATAGATTTTTTAGGTGAAATGAACATCATAGTTTAATAATATGAATTGTTATGAATGTTTATTGCCAATTTTCCTTAATTATAAGTTCTTTCTTGGTACTCGGAATTTTAGTATTTTTTACGAAAATTGATAGAAATATTATATTTTGACAACTATATATAGTTAATATACGTCAGAACAATTAGAACTAGGACCTATATTGGGTTAAGACATTTTTTCAAAAGATTTTAACTAAGTTCATGCTGATGTCGATGAGCAAAATTGATCTAAAGATTCCAAAAAGGTGTTCTTTAGATTCACTATTTGGGGTAGTAAAAAAGTTTTGAAAATATATATAAAAAAAAATGTTTCTTTAAATATTGTTTGGACATAATACACTGTTAAAATCATGCCAATTTCCAATAAAAGAATTTGAGTAATTTGTAAATCGCCATAACTACACTGAATAAGAATAATTAAAGTAAATATATAAAATTAAGAACAAAATTAAAAGGAGAAATTACATTAAGAAAAAAAAATTATAAAAAAAACTTCAAAAATTATGAAGTAAATATTTTAATCGATAGAAAAAAAATCATTTAAATGCTGTTTCATATAAGTTGCTGAAACAGTTGTGTTTTTCTTAACCACACTAACAACAATTCTAATCAAATCATGTTTTGTAACAATTAAGAACACTGGTGAAAGAAAATCTAATTTGATAATCATATTTATTGATGATGTTTTGATAAAAACTATACTTGAACGAATTTAGAATGTATTTATTCATTAATTTGATTTACAAGTTTGGTCAATTAATTCACTCAATTCACACAAAAATAATCACCTATTATCTTACTACACATATTTTTGTAGTAAATTATACTCACTATTTGATTTATTGACTAAAGTTCAACTGTTAGAAGATTTATTCACCAACACACAAATAGATACAAATAAATAACAAAATAGATAACAAAAAAAAAAAAAAAAAAAAAAGGCGAAATACTTTAACAGAACTCATTTTTTATGCAATTTTTAAAATTATGGTATACTTTTTATATAAACACTTTTTTTTTGAGATGAGATAAATAAAATAATTATATAAATAAATTAAATTCATCGACTAAATCATTAAAAAAAAAACCTTTTTTTTCTTTAGGAAATATAGGATTTAGAGCAGGATTTACTGCAGATGAGTATTGATAACCATCTATTGGAACATTCAAATCAAAAAACTTTGACACAACAATAAAATCATCTGTCATGGAATAGTCATTTGGATACTCACTGTTTGACATGCTATACTCACTGGAATATTTATTCAAAGAATCAAGACACTCATTTGTGCAACCAACCAAATCTAAATTTTGAAAAAAAAAATTAATAGCTGCTTATGGCTCCAAACTGGGTCATATGAAATAAAGTCTATATAAAATAAATGGGTCTAACAATGTCATATAAAAAGAATAAAAAATTGGCAACTTTATCAGTAGTACTTAAATTCCTAATTAACTTAAATTTATAAAAACTATTTGTCTGTGAAACAAATATCTAAATCTGCTGCTACATGTATCTCTACTGTATTTAGACTGAAACATATATTTAGGAAGTGAAGTTTGTTTGTGTTAAAACTCTTTTAAATTCATAACATTAAAATAACAAAAACTATTCATTTTAAAACAAGCAAACTGTAATATAACTTAATTTTACATGTGAGAGGGTTAAAATAGTGTAACCATTGTAATACAAATAATATTAATTAAAAAAATGCAACAATAGCAATACAAGTAAACAAATTCTTTATTTGTGTATTTCAAGTTTACTTATAATAAGTTGCATTAAGAGTCAAATTAAATCAACCAGAAAAAGAAAAAAAAAATCTCATCAAATTGTCTCAATCTCAATAGTTTGACTGTATTTTATTAATTTTATTTGTGTTCTTTGTATTAATGACAAATGACTTTGCAAAAAATCAATTAGTATCATAAGTATTGTCTAATACAAGCATTAAATCCATCATTCTTTGATTACTAAAAAATCAATAAAAAAAACTTATTGTCTAGGCCAAAATAAAAAAGCATGTTAGTTGGGCAGTTAATGACTTTTTAAAATCACTGAAAAATCAAAGTTTATGTTTTTTCACTGACAAATCAAAGTTTATGTTCTACTTCACTACTGAATGAAATAGTCAGTAGTGACAAAATGTCAGACATCTAGTAGGAGACAAAACCGATCAAAAAATTCCATTACACATAGTTAAAAACAGAGGCCATA